CCGCAGCGCCGCGCAGGTCCCGCCGCCCGCCCGCCCGCTGTAAACCGGATTCACCATCTGCTGAGCTCCCTGACGGCCCCGCTCTAGACTCGGTATATATGAAATCCCCAAGAAGTACTTTGGATGCCTGAAATATTTATTTAGTTTCCTTTTAGCTGGCAATACCAGCATCTGCAAAAAATAAACAACAACAACAACCAACCCTCTAAACACAAGACGGGAACTCCAAAGCTAAACGTTCCTCCTTTAAGCTTTGCAAAACATACATAAAATACAAACTTCAAACAGCTGCAAAAATAGTGTCTTTGGAAGAAAATAGAGTTTCTACATCAGATACAAGAAAATAGGCTTCTTCAATACAACCCCGAGCCTTCGCAACAGAACACAAAAATCAAAATACTTTTTGTCATCAAGAGGCTTTTACAATCATGTTCCCATGTTATCGCTTTGCCTCCCGAGGCCTCGTGCCGGGGCAGAGCTGCTGGTGGGGGGGCAACAACTTGGGGCTCCGGCCCAGCTGCGGTCACAGCTCCACACATCCCCTAGAGCCCTCAGGGGGATCGCGGGTTCCATCCATCCATCCATCCATCCATCCATCCATCCACCCACCCCCCAGGGATCCAGCGCCGGCCCGGGGGCTCCAGGCTGGAAAGCAGCAGGTTGTTTCTCTACAGCAGCACCCACCCCCCTGGGGCAGGGCCCTTCCTGTGCTGCCGGTTTTCCCTCGTTTCCCGCAGGCTCCTGGGAGCCCTTTGCCCACCTGTGGGGAGAGCGGAGAGGCAGCTCCCACCTCCGCCTTCACCCCCCTGGTCACCCCCTTTCCCGAGCACGGATCTGTGGCAGCTGCCTTCAGCCACCTGCATCCCCCCCCCATTTAGCACTGGCCACCTTAAAGCTCCGGGCTTGTTTCGGGGGGTGAAGGTGGCCAGGGGAGGCAGGGAGAGGGAGCTGCTGCTTGCCAGCCCTCTCTGTGCTCCGAGGGCTATGAGCCGTCTTCACAGTGCAGCTACACAACTTTTTCTACTCCGATACACCCAGGGGCAGCCGCCCTACAGGTCCCTTCTCCCCTCTTCCCACGGTTCAGCAATCCCAGACAGCTGCAGCGGTGCCAAGGACCCTCCGACCTGAATTCAACCTCATTCCCAGAGCCACAGAGCAGGAGTTTGCCTCTGCTCCCCCGCAGCAGCGCCCGGCTGCTCTTCACCAGTGAAACAATCACACAGGAAACAAAAGACAATTCAACACAGGAAAAGTGCTTTGAACAGGGGAGGCTCAGAGAAACAAGCCCCTCCGGCAGCGAGGAGTCCTGTGGCACGCTGTATTTCACAGTTTCTGTTATCCTCGGGAGGAAGACCTGCTGTGGTTCACAATTCCAGAGCCGCCTCTTGGCTGTCACGTCCCAACTTCAAGGCACTAAAGTCTCCCCAGGCTGGCAGAGACACGCTGAGGAGCCAGAGCTGCTGTTGCTGGCTGAGCTTTCCTAAAGGCTTCACACCACCAGAGAGCTGTGGAAGACGACGCTCTCCTCGGGCTGGCCACGCTTCCAGTGTTCGTAATTCAGCGAAGGAGACGTGGAGACCTCGCTGAAGCCGTCTACTGCAGCGTCCTTCCGCACCCCGAGGAAGGGGCCGGGGGTGGGGGGCTGGCAGGATGGAAACGGGCCCGGGCCGGGGCTGGAAGGAGGCGGAAAACCCCGGAAGAGGAAGCCCACGTTTGGGAAGAGAGGCTTCACCAGGCTGACGGGGCAGAAGGCAGAACCAGTGGGGTTGAAGTGCACTTTGTTCTTATCAGGGCAGGAAGGCTGGAAGGGCTGGTCGGGGCTGGGGGAGCTGAAGGAGAGAGAGGGAGCGGGCGGGGTTAGGGACGGACATGGCCAAGGGCAGTGAGGAGCCGCCGGGAAAACACCTGGAGCTGGGCACCCTGCAAAGAGCCCGACTAAGAGCTGAACCCCCCGGGAGCTGGATCACTCCTCAAGTGCAGAGCAGCATGAGGAGCCTGTTTTGTTTTCATAGAATCCTCTGGGTTGGAAAAGCCCTTGAAGCTCCTCCAGCCCAACCATGACCCCCCCCCCCCGACCGTTCCCAACTCCCCCAGA